AATTGCAGCATCCACAGGTGCAGTCACACCCCAGAAGCGAGTGGGTAGTGTGGTCTGGCAGATGATCCCACATACACTACCTGCCTGCACTGCCGAGCTAAAACCAGCCGGGGCAAGGGAACAAAACACATGAGCACCATGGGGATGCTGATGCATCTCCGCAGGCACCACCCCCTTCCCCTTGCTCCTTCTCAGCCTGGCACCAGCGGGAGTATGCCCAAAGGGAAGTCCCTCTCTCGTTCCAAAGCCCCTGTCCCCCTGAAGCAGAGGCAGGCTATCCTGGGACAGTGGGAGAAAGGCGGACAGAAAGGGAGGTGCGTTGCAAGGATGAGAGAGATCACTCAGAGCATCGGGGAGATACTTGCTCTGGACAGCCAGCCCTTCTCCTTAGCTGAGTGGCCAGGGTTCAGGCAACTCATGGCACTCGTGGCCCCATCCTATCAAGTCCCCGCATGTACCACCTTCAGCAGGGTGCCCTTCCTATATGAGGCATGCAGGTAGTACTTGAGGGAGGAGTTGTGCAAGGCAGGTCTGCAGGTGGCCTTACACTTCACTTCGGACATCTGGAGCAGCCAGGGCAGAGATCACGCCTACCTCTCCCTCACAGGTTACTGGTATGACCAGTCAGGCTGTCGGTGGGCTCTCCTTCAAGCTGAGGTGATGGATGAGTCCCACATGGTAACAGAGATCATAGGGGCCATGAACCATTTGGTGCAGGGGTGGCTCATTGGGCAGAGCATGCTCACCCACGGGTGCATGGTCACCAACAATGGGGCCAATATGGTCAAGGCAGTCCGATACCAACTTTGTTGGCATCTTCTGTGTGGTACACAAGTTCCACCTCATAGTCAGGGAAGCCTTGGAGGGGGACAGGGCTGCCGGTGACAGCGCCAGTACCACCAGCAAGCTCATTTCCAAATGCAGGAAAGTGGCAGGCTACTTCCACCAGAGCATCAAGGGGAGCAAGATGCTGTGGGACAAACAAGCAGAGCTGAACATCCCACAGTGCAAAATCATGCAGGATGAGGAAACTCGGTGGAACTCCACATACCTGATGCTTGAGAGGCTGGTGGAGCAACAGAAGGCCATCCATGAGATGGCTTTGCTCAGGGAGATTGGGATCAGCGGCCCCCTTAACAGAGCTGAGTGGGATACCATCTCCCAGATCTTGGTGATCCTCAAGCCCTTCCTTGAGGTCCCCAAGATCCTCAGTGTTGGCAATGCCCTCCTTAGCCAGGTGATCCCTGTACTGAGGGAACTGAGCTAAATGGAGAGATTCCAGAGGATCAGTGTTCCTGGCTGGGGCAAGCTGCTGTCACCAGACATGCAGGCAGTGGTGAGGTGGCTGAAGGAGGGCAATGGGAAATGGTTTGATCCCTTGTGGTCCAGTACAGCCCATGTGCTGGCCACCATGTGTGACCTGAGGGTGAAGGGCAGCATACGCAACAGCCAAAGCCTGAATCAGTGGATGGAGATGCTGGTGAAGAGTTAGGGAAGCAGAACAGCAGAGGCAGGGGGACGTGGAAGAGGGGAATCCACTGTCCCATGCTAGCATGCCATCCACCAGCCAGTCTCCTCCACCACAGGTGCTGCCAATGTGGGCCAAGGGCATGGCTTCCATGGTAGGGTCCAAAGGCACCAGATCCAACCAGGTCCAGGCAGGTAGCGCTCAGGCCTTGGTGGCTGCCTATCTTGCCGAGGACAAGGAACCACTGCTGTGCGACCCCTTGGCCTACAGGGCAAGCCACAGCCAGATGTGGCCAGATCTGGCCACGGTTGCTCAGGAACACCTGTCCTATCCAGCGACCAGTGTTCCAAGTGAAAGGGTGTTCAGCATTGCTAAGGATATAGTAACACCCCACCACACCCACTTGGATCCTGTTTTGGTGAAGCAGCTGGTGTTCCTCAAGGTGAACCTCATGCTGCTGGGGTTCCCCAAACTCCACGTGCAGACAGAGTGAATGCCACCCATCTCACTCCATCCGCACCCATTTCCTTTTTTCATTTTTAAAAACCATTTAATGCCCCACTCAGAGCTGGAGGGGGCACTCACTGTATCACCAATCAACAGAGGAAGAACATGTCCCTGCTGAGCTTACATGCCAGGATGAACTTGGAGGTATGGGCTGGGGCTATGGGGAAGGAGGAGACCCCAGGTCCTGGGCATGACCACTAAAACTACACTCTGCCAGGGTCGGGAGGCCTGGTAGAACTGCTGGCGGCACAGCAGCCCCGGGAAATGCCAGGACTGAGGATCCCCCTGGGAAAAGGTGGGTAGGAGGTGCCATACCCCCCAGCCACATGCACACAGTCCTGGCTGGGAAAAGCCCAGACCCGTCAAGCCTTACTGGTTGCAGTGGAGTTGGGAGTCTCCAGGTGAGATCAGCTTAGCTGCCTGGGATGCCAGCTTTCAGGTTGAAAAACCCCGTGTTAGGCTGAAGAAACACCTGCAGTTGGTGTGTGTGCTGTTCCCGGATGGAAAGAATAGTAAAGAAGCCAGAGGCTGGCATGCAATGTAGGCAAGAAAGCCAGTCAGTGAAAATGGAAATGGAGGCATCAGGGGGTAAGGGAACAGGCTGGGGTGGGGGTGGGAAGGGGTATGTAGCAGCACACATAAAAGTGCAGAGGTACCTGGTAAGTCAGCTGTCTGGCAGGTTGTTGTGTGTCAGAATTCCAGTGTCTATATTGAGTCCATGACTTTCTGTACCTAGGAGGTTGATGAAGTGCAGTTCATAGGCTCGCAGGGCCCTGGACACATCTAAGCCCTGGGGCTGGCAGGGAGAATTCTCTGGCAGCTGCTGGAGAACAATCTCCTGCAGGAGAGGGAAGAAAAGCTCTGTCACTGGCTGGCTGCCTGAGACGCTGCTGGTGCTACTGTGCTGCTCACTAAGTTATTATTTTACCTGTTGTCATTTAAAGGGTGGACCAGACTGATACTGTAGGGAGGCAGCCGCCTTATTGGGACACACTAACGTGTTATGTAGAGGGCACCAGTGAGCGTGCACCTTAACACACACACACACACAAAGTCACACGTCACGAGTTTTGCTCATCAGCAGCTTGAGGTGTAGTTTCCCAGAAACCCCTTCACCTATCTCCTTGAAACCTGGCAGGCTTCATGCTCTCAGAAGGGGCTACCATCCCTGCTGTTTTCATGCACATCTGCCAAAAAATGACAAAGTTATAAGCAGTTTTGTGCTTCCCATTATAGCCTATGGGTGAAATGTTGAAACATAGTCAAAACAGCAAAACAGTTTCAACATAACGAAACAGAACAGCGCTTTCAAAACAAAATTACTCTAAACAAAACACTGTCCCATGGAAATATAAGTCGAAGTGAAACGGTGCTGTTTCATGCAGCCCTAAATATATATACACACACACCTATATACACATATAAAATGGCATTTCATTTTAAGCATGGAAAAATGTGGATGTGGGGGGGGGTTCATCAGAGAATTTGTGATTTTATGTTTATCAGTGAATTTGTGATTTTTAAACAGAGAAAACCAAGATCCATGCTTGACATGACCTGTGTTGATTAGCCAAAGGCACATACATTCATTTGGACAGCATTCAAAATGTTTGTAACCTTTAAGTGACCCACCCCTAACTTGTTTCTCAATGTTATTGTCCTAATGTTTTTCAGGGTGAGAGTTTCTAAGTCCAGATATTTAGAAAAAGAATGAAACAAGTATAGCAATTGGTAAGGATCAGCAGGGACAAAGTCCTGTGTGCGCCAGGATTGAACTAATGTGATGACGGCTATTCATTAGCTCCTACCGTGCCTGGGCTCTTTACAAATATTAATAAATCTATCTTCACTATACCCCTGAGACAGCAAAGTGTTACCCTTATTTTACTAATCCAGAGATGAAGTGAATTGGCCACAATTGTATTGAAAGTTTATAATGCTCAGGAACCAAGCCAAGTCTCCCATCTAAGTCCATGGCCACGACTGCAGGTGTGCAGTATGTGGCACCGCAGACCTGTCTGCGGTGCCCCATACTACACTAGCAGGTGTGTCCTGCGCTTCTACCTGGCAGCATGGGTAAGGGTGAGGGGAAGGGTCTGACCTCGGGAAATTCTGGGGTCAAAATCCCATGCCAAAAAAAGTGAAGTGGCACACGTGGTGGCAGCACACATCACCAAGAAATGAAACCTGGCTGGCTGGAGCCATGCTTCAGCTGCCACCCAGGCTCCCAGCTGCAGGAGCGTGTCATGGCTGCAGTTCCCCAATGCCCTCAGGACCTCAGGTAAGGGGTTGCTGGCCCATCTCCCCTACCCCACCCAGGGTAACCTGCTGCGCGCCAGCATGCATGTGGTATGGGCATTCCCTGGGGACAAGTAGCAGCAGCACAAGGTGTGGCACTGTTACTTGTCCCCGGGGAAACAAACGGCTGCACTCATCTGGCACAACCTAGGAGTCTAGTGCCTTACAACACAACCCGTTCTTCCCTCAGAGGAGAAAGCATTTTGCAGCAAAAATATTTTAACATTTCCTCAGCAACAGAGCAAAAGCAACTAGGGATTCTCAAGAAGTTTATCAACTGAAAAAGCCACATTAGCTCTTGTTTATAAAGCTTATGACATTCTACATTTTTATTTTCTAAATACCCAGAAAACTCATCTTCAAATGTCCTATTATTTCAAGGTATAAGGAATCTTGACTTCATAATCCTAGTAGATGGTGGTCCTGGTAGATGGTGATGCTAGGGAAGCCACAGTTTTAGAAACTGGACATAAGCTTGGCATGAAATCATGATTCCACTGAAATCAATGAAACTCTTGTCATGGGTTTCGACAGGAACAGGACCGACTCCTGGGATGCAAAGAGAGCGAGACATACAGCTTTTTGCAACAGGAAGGTTGTATCTTTTTGAAAGCAAGACTGAAAATTACAATGACCTGTGCAGAAAAGCAACATTCAGAAAGGCGTTGCACAAAGGTTAAGTTCACACTGCGTTGTACATCAGTTCCACAAAGACAAATGGTTTGACATTACATTTCTTTATTTGTATTCGAATCCACCATCTATACAGGGTATTTACAAGGCATGAAAATGGATAACAGCACAAAATACAATTGAGGTATAAGCTAAGAGCACAGTATGTCATGTTTCAATAAATATAATTCAAAATTTGTAAACTAAGTGACCAGATAGATGCATCTTGTTTTTACTAAAACCATATAAAATATCTGTTAAATCTCACGTGAGGTAGAGGACAGTTTTGTGTGTCATGTAATGCAACCACAGCAACTTGAACAATAAAACTGTACATCATTGGCAAAGTATTAAAAATTGTTGAATGCGCTGATTATTTTATCTCAGGCTTTTACTACAGTTTCAGATAGTTATTTCACTTGTCTTGATTGAAGATAGTTTCTACAAAGCTTTACAGATACTCTCTGTAATCTAAAGGTTAATTATACTGGCATGTCAACATCAATACTTCCAACAGTGAATATGAAAACACAAAACAGATTTTGTCTATCAAAGACCTTATAATCCTGGAAGGCAACGTAATTGCAGCAAAACAACTGGAGACAAACTTTATTTCCTAGAATTATTTTAAATAAAGTACAACTGTGCTTTCCATGTTTTCTAGTGAGGTATCTATATTTGGAAAAAAAAATTGTAATCTTTTTTAAAACATTTGACTGATTTCCAAGTGTTCTGCTTTATTTTTAAAACCTTTTGTTTTGCTGTGCTTGATTAAGTAATGCTTCAAACCCACCAGTTTTTCAAGCTTTTTTCAACTAAAACAGTAACTGCAGAAAACGTTCTATTCTATGTAGTAACGGAGACACTGTGAAATGCACTGTGCAGTCTGTAAGCCGATGACCTTTACTTTCATAAAAAGTAAAAACTAAGCAAAAATAATAGATGCCCTTTTGGACTATAGGAGTCCAACATAACTAATTCTAGAACAAAACCTCCAGTAAGGGAAATGTTTTACTGTCTCTGATGCTACAAATGCAATGAACCTTTGTTGAACCTCTGTAACATTAGTAAAATCTACAGGTTTTTGTACCAAGATATTTTTACTGCTGACAGCTTAAGATAAAACTGCTTAAATAGTGCAAGCACAGAACTGAAGGCAGGTGTATTTATGTATTTTATTAATTTTACCATGCTATAAAAATTCTGTCATGTGGATTAATTATATGGGTTAAGTGCAGAAAAAGTATAACGTTAATATCCTTACTGGCTAGTCAAAATATATACCGTACTAACAAGAAAGAATTTTTTAGGAAGCTGACCATGTATTTTAAGACTAGCTTCACAATTAATCCTAGGAAAATGTTTCTACAATTTAGTGTCGCGTTATAGTTAATTGCAAATTTGATTTTTTTTCGCAAACTGATGAATATATATGAATAAACGTGGTTCATGACTTCCTGACCATGAGCCTGAGTGGTGCTCTTCAGGCCAACCCACCAAGAGTTTTACACTCCCTCTTGACTTTGCCAACTTAAGTAACTGCATCATACCCTTACTATATACAAATGATTTTACATCTAAGCTATTAATATATTAAATATAGAATAAACTTAGTTTAATAATGTAAAACATAACTACTATGTATACCTAATACTCAAGCTAAAAGGACAAATTTTACAAAAACTAAAGCACAGATTCTTTAAATTTAACCTTGGAGATCTGCTAAAATCTGTTTCACTGAGTTTTAAGTGGTCACATTTGTGAATCAGGGTGCTTTCAGAGTGCCAGAATACAAAAGATTTACTAGTTTTCTAGAATCATTAGGTTTTCTTGCAGAATTGAGTACACATAGCACATGAAAGTTCTCCCTCAGAAGGTATATTAGCACTAGGTACATGTTGAATACTACTAATTTTATTCTCAAAGTGCTCTAAGGCAACTTTATTTCTCAACTAATTGTTCATTAATGCAGATTCAAGTTAAGAATATTTTGATCTTTTATCAAGATTAACTTTAAGTCAATCTGGAAAATAAACTTCCAGTCTAAAAGATCAGCACAGAAAAATTAGAGTTAAAATAAACTCCATTATTAATTCGCAAGTAAAACGAGCATGCTATGACTAAACGAGCATGTTCATAGTGACAGGACAATTTTGCTGGAGGTCCCTTAAGGGTTCATTCCTAGTCTCTGTATTAGGCTGTAAAATAAACTGTTTGTCTTAATTATTATAAATTAGTGAAAGAGCTCAACATAACTATTTATTCTAGAACTTATACAGTATTATTTACAATTTACTACAAAACCATCTTTCAGTGACTATGGACACAAAAATCTATGGCACAGTTATTTATACATTATTACTTAAAAATCTATATAAAATTAAGTTTACACATATGGGAATTGTTATGTAATGAATTGGAAATGAAAATGTCCTTATTCAGTATTAAAAAAAAATACAATTATTTAAAATTATTGTAAATGATATATTTACAAGGCTACTAAAAGAGACTTTAGACCAATTCTCAATTAAGCTTTTTCAGCCAATATATTAGAATAAGGGTGCAGACAGAAGTGCAGCTCCCAGCTGCAACTAAGAATGATTTTTGCAAAGCATTCAGAGTTGCACCGTTACCCCAGACCAAAAGTTCACTGTTAGTTCCAGTGGGGAGGGAAAACCTAGCTGCAGCTGGGAGCCTGGAGCCACATTCCCACAGTGGTGGCCAGGCTCTGTGCCCTTGCTCACTGTTTTCACAATGGGAGGAGGGGAGAAAGCAACAGAGGGAGCTTATTCTTGGGGCTTCCCAGCTGCTGCTGAAAGGGGGGTGTAAATTGGAACCCCCCTGGCCTCACCTCAGGGGGTCTGCAATACATCTGCCCCACCCTCTAGGGGGGGCTGAAAACCCCCCAGACTGAACTCCCTTTGCTCCCTCTCCCCCTCCCATTCCATTCCAAAAAGAACATTAGGCTGGGAGCTCCTAGACACAAGTTACAAGACATCTTTATCTGACACCTCATGCAATGACTGCCATCATAGAAATACTAATAGAGATCATGGCTTTTAGCATCTTAAGCATTGCATCAGGTAGACCCCTATGGAACAAAGCTGACAGGGTGTTTAAAATGCTGGTGGAGACACTGAACCTTGCCTATATTAGCACTCACGACTATGGAAAACTTGAGCAAAAAAAATAATTTTTGAGTGATTAGTGAAAAGTGAATAAAAATATATAGTATTCTACAGCAATAATCCAGTCCAGATTCTACCATTTCAACTGCTAGAACATGAAATACTGCGGTAAATAAACTAATTCAAAGATGTTCAAAGTGCACACCTACATTGACAATTGAAACAGGTGAAGGCCAGATTTAAGTTTTACAATGAAGATACAGTCTGAAAAATAAGATGGATTTAAAATAATAAAATAATAGGATTTTTTATTTACTGCCTTTTTGGTGACACTCAAATTAAACTTTCTGAAGAGCTTGAAAAAAAGATTATTCCCCTACCCCATCCATCTGCCAACCTGAGAAATTCAGCCTGGGATCCAAGAGCTAACTTTTGCTCTTCCAGGCTTGGGCATCTGATAAGGATTTTAGAATCAGTACATAGTTAACTTCTGTTTCATAAATCAGACTAAGCTTGCACTCATTCTCCCATAGCTGCATTGTCTAGGCTAATGGGATTAAAATATATATAATCTTTAAAACAAGAATATATGATTTTGAATACACAAATATACACCGAGTGAATCAGTTTCCTATGGGCACTTTTTCCTTCTACCTCATAACCGCCCTTAAAACGAGATTTGACCAGGCCAGCGTAGATAGGTGTATATTTTTAAAAAGAATAACCAAAAAGAGAGAAAAACCTGTTACTCCAATTCATACAATTCATGTTTCAAACTGCTTCAAACATGCTTTAACTTTCAGTGTAAATGTGACATTAAGAATACACGACAATTCTAACAAACATGTCAAACATACTTTAGTTTCACCTCTCCAAATTGAACAAGCAGCATGTGAGATATATGCCAACTTAATTTTTCTTTTTCTAATATTTATGATTTAATTGAAACAATGCATGAAAAAATTAAAATTCCCAGAAAACTTAACCAACTCAAAGCAAATATGGAAGCAGAAACTGTATTAATGGCCTTCTTCACCATTAATTTAACCTTTCTGAATACAGTAAAGGCACAAGCACCATAGCAAAAAGGTTCAATTTGTGACAGACTCAGATTATGCTGTGACCACTGAAGAGACTAAAATACTTCTAATCACTGACATAATCAAAAAAAATAATCTATCAAGGGCATGTCAAACTTTTCAAAATGAAAAGAGATATTGTCTTTCAAAGTGCCATAGCTGAAATGTTTTTTTTGAAATGTTTAATAAATTACCTAAATGTCAATTAAACCCTGTTTTTCACATACCAAAAGAAAAGTCTGTACAAAAAAGAAAAAAAAAAGAGGTTGCCCCACTGAAAAGTAACTGATGTATGTAACTTAAAAGTGTTATTCTCTAGGTCATTAGTATTTTCATATCACCATTACCTGAACCTTCCTATTAAAGGAGAAAACCTACAAATTTAATCCATTAGACTTTTTTTTCCATATTTGCTATCTGGAAGAAAAATAAAGTAGGGGTAGATTATTTTTAAAGTTTTTCATGCATTTTTGTTATTCCTTTTCACAAGAAGTACATAATAATGATATCTTCTTTCCAAAATGTCAAAAGTATACAATTTTTTTGTGATCTTGACAAAAAATGTTAAATACTTAATATTTAAAAGATGAAAAATTTATATTGAAAAATGTATAGATGAAAATGTATATGGATGAAAAAATTTAGGCTAGTAAATTTATGATAAACAGTTCCCTTTCATCAACTTGCCACCCTGCAACATAAACATGAAAATGCCTTCCTTGTCACCAGAGAGGAAAGACTTTTTACTGAAGCTCAAATTCTGGTTTTGAATTTTAGATTTAAAAAAAAGCAACATTTTAAAAATGTACTTCTATAACGGGATGTGCAACAAGTAGCAAAATAAAAACCACCACAGTATATTTTAAACATAAAATGCTGCTTTAAAAAAAGGTACATAGCCCTCAATACTGCATCAGAAAGAGAGGGAAATTAACTGTTCTAAAACAAAAGTTTCATATCTTTAACAGTTGTCTCTAAAAAATCACCAATACAAATAAATGCAGATTTTCATGAGCTAGGAAAAAATGTATATCCATCCACTTATTTCTTCATCTTGGTTTTCTGTTTGAGAAGTCCATAGAGAATACCTTGTTTTATTATACAGAAAAACTGCTCACAATTCAACTACAAAAAAACAACCCTGTTTGAAGAACACAATTGTGTTCACCTTTCCCAATATCTATTTTCCTTTTCCATTTTTTGAAGATTTCAAAATCTGTAGCTTTAATTCTTTTATCATCATCTCTAACTTTTCTCTTGCTTCTCGTTCCTGTCTCAGTTCATCTTGGAGCTCTTGTCTATCTGCTTCTGCATGATCCAATCTCTGTCTCAGTTCTGCCAACTGCACAAATAAATTTGAGAGAGAGAAAAAAAAATCAATTTTTAATTTTAGCATACATGTTAATAAAAGTAAAGTATTTGTTTCCCAAATTAATTGAATATTGTATTATCAGATTTTTTAGTTAAAGAATGTGTCGGATTGTTTATTTTTTAAAAGGCGGTGTAAAACTATCTTTCTTTTGAAAAAGCTGCCATGTACGTGTATGCTATTTAGTAGCAACAAAGTGCATGTTTATAAACACACTACTATGATACAAGACTAATAACTCATACAATATTTGTATATTTGCATTTCAGTCATGAAATATCATGGATCATATCAGTAATGCAAATAGTCTTTCCTGTATGTACCCCAGATTGACTATTGTTGTTTGGGTCAATATATTTATTTTATTTTGCCACGATTAACTATCATCTCTCTGTACAATAAAATTAATATAATAACCAGAATAAGTAATGATGCCATTATCAAGTACATGTACAAATTAAAAAAGTATAAAAAACAGTGCTAAGAGCAGCTGCTTGTAAGTGTGATTTCAGCCACGATTATGAGCATATGCACACATGTAGGTAGGGGTCTACTTAACCCATGGCAAGACAAGGCAATTTTCACACCCTGGTCAAAACAGGAAGAGCCAATTCTGCAGGCATTTCCTGGCAGCCACGCTCCTCACTGTTGATTGGCAGAGGGGTATTGGCATCGCATTTAACTTCTTAAAAGATGGTGCTGAAACATTTTCACTTCACTGACAGGTGCCTTCATTTAGTCTACATCACTAGCAGATAGTAACATGATTTATGGCTGCAGTGATTGGCGTGTTGCCTTTGTATTGCAGTAAGCATTGGCACATTCTAAAACAGCATCTTTTATACAAATAATATGCTAGGTTTTTTTAGATTGCTTTTGTGGGGAATCATGGCCAACACAATATTTCTTGGCAATCACAGAGAACACAGTTTTTCAGTTTCCGCAAAAACCGTGAAACTGCACATTAAGGTAGACCCCCTACACACAGAATTCATATATACAGTATGTTAACAATGTCATTTACATTGGTTTTATAGAGATGTAACTTGTGCACCTGTCTGGAGCATAAAGACAACCAAACCAGCTGGCTGGGTTGCTATTAATATTACAGAGCTTCCCCACTAGTTGGTAGGGAAGCCAGTAGCAGCCCATCCACAGTGAGTAATTTTTAATGCCAGATCAAACTGACTAGAGCAGCAGACAGGCAACCTGTACACCAATGTCATTTATGTCAATATAGTCACTCCTGAGTGGCAGCGTTGCCCCAGACTAGAGCGACTCATGCTGGAGCAGGACATACACTGCACACATAAAGCCAAATTACACTGGCATGACTATACCACATGTCCACAATCTAAATATTTTGAAGATAAAAGCAATGCATTTAACTTCATAAAAATTATTATATAATGGAAAAAAAACACATAAAATACCCCAAAATTAAGAAATCTGTACTTGGATCTCAAACTTGCTGGATTAATAAAAGGGTTTGTAATGTATATATTCACCTACTGTTCCAAGGAAAATTACTCTCACAATACAATAGAAACCAGATCTGCTGTATCTGGGTGGTTCACAAACTGTTTAATTTGCAGGGGTTGTCAAACTAAGAACCAGGTACTCAGCTGTTTGCTACCAATTTTACTTCAAAGGGCCCCATTTTTTGGTCAGCTAGAGTTCATTCAGCAGTCCTGTGCAGCAGTTTGCTGCAGCTCTGTATAACCCCAGGTATTTCACAAATCCTCATCTTTGCAGGTATCCAGGCTCTACTGTCATAGATTCATAGATGCTACGGTCGGAAGGGACCTCAATAGATCATCGAGTCCGACCCCCTGTCTTAAATAATTCTTTGCAATCTATTACAGTTCAAGCTATCTTTTTATAGTTACACACTAGGAAGATATATAACTTCTTAGTATGTAAGAAGTTCAACTTCATCTTTATTTCAAGTGTCTCAATTTCAATAGAAAGTGCTGGTAATGTATATCCCTAATTAATATGGCTACCTCGCACATAGGTACAAATCCTATTCAGACTTGATATACTCTATTTATACTACTGGATTACTGAATGCTGAACACACTCTGAAGAATCTGATGACCAATTACATAAACAACGGATTTTAGATTACAAATTTGTTTAGATTACAAATTTCTATATATCAAACAAACTGTTCCATTTTTTTTTTAATTCACATTCCAGCTTTTTTTAAAAATAAATTATCGTTATTGTTGTATGGAGAATTTCACAGAGACCTCTCCAAAGACAAGAACCGTTTAACCACTAAGAAAAGTTGCAGAAGGATGAAGAGTTTCTGTAACCTATACCTCATCTCAATTTCAGTCAAGGGACAAACGAGCTGAAGATGGACAAGCGAACTGGAGGTGGTACGGTAATACTCTATAAAAGTTTAAAGCTTGGCTAGCGACAGCCTGTACTCTTAACTTTCCTCAGCAGGAGTTTCATCAGCCAAGTGGACAAGATGCTATTTGTGGTAGACAAGAAACTGGTAGACTTTAAATGTTTATTTCTCACCTGTGCTGCATATTCAGCCTCCTTGTCTTTTTCTAGATTCGAGTCACAGGTACATTTTTGCTTCATCACCTGTTCCAATTTCTTCTCCAAGTCCCTCTGCTCAACATAAAATTCTTCCATTCTTTGAGCATGCTCAGTCTGCAAAGATTCAAGTTCTTTCTGTAAATTCTGCTGTTCTTCAGTTAATTCCTTCATAGCTTTAGAATTACTTAACATTTCCACTTCCTGTCAAGAAAAGATGAGGATTATACACAGAATGATTCTAAGGCCAAAAATCAAAATTATTGTTTCTATCAATTTAAAATGTGTTATCACAAAATACTTAGGAGACAAACAGAATGTACATACTGATGGTGTGCGAGTAGCAGCCTTGAATTCTGTAGTAATTATGTGATATAAAAAAGTAGCATTTTCAAGTACCCAGAACTTCCAGAAACCAGCTCACAGGTCCCAAAAGTGAACCTAAGAGAGTAGTGGTATCATTTTATAAATCAATTAATTTATGAAGAACATTACATTTGTTCTTTCTGTGAGTTAAAAGTGCTAAGTTATTACACCATCAGGGTGTGAGATAATGAGCTGGAGCCGAGTGAAATGGCCTGGGATATGACAGTTCAGTCAATTTTGAGGAAGGAGAGGAAAAGGAGGGAAAAGGCTACCAAATTTTCCTCCAGAGTATTAATATTTTTAAACGTTAAGCTAAAAGCTAAGTCTTGAGTCAAATGTAACCAATTTACTACTCCCAGGTCAGAAGAATAGTTTGAAACAACAGCTCTGGGAAGCTTGAACTGCCCCATTTATCAAAATAGCCTTGATCCTGAAATATATGAATGCTAATATTTAAAATATAAATTAAGTGAGACTACTGTCAACTGACACATGCAAGAAACAAAAAAGATAATGAAGCAGCTAATACAAGTACACGCAGATCATACGATAGTAGCGTTATGAAAATCTGAAAAGTATATGCTTTGATGATTCAAATGGCCAAAGCTTAGTCTGTGAGCATAGCTTTACTATTACTAGGCTTTTGTTTTTCTCCAATTCAACCTCCGTGCTACAGATCATCTGTAGAGTAAATCTATGTAGGATACCTCCATAGACAAAGCTGTCTTTTAAAAACAGCTATGGAAAGTTACAGAGTTCTCTTTTATAACAAATAAGAAAAAGTCTCTGTGGTTTAAGTTATGTTTTTCTTGACAGAGTTCAGCAAAGAAACTAGGAATGAGGTCAGATATTCGAGAAAAATCTTTTTCTTCAGCAAATGGAAAAACCTGCTTGTTGAACAGACAGAAACTGACAGAATATTTGTTTTAAAAGATAATGTAAAAGAGAATTTCTTGTAAAAGGGGGATATGTGAGGCATTATCATAACAAACAGTCAAAACTACACTCCGAATGATCAAAAGTAATTTGTAAATTTAAAACAAAGAAACAAAAAGGAAGGTAATATAAGTACTTTCATGAAAGTTTATTTTTTCTTTAATAAATATGTATCATCTTTCATCCACAGATATCAAAGCATTTGCAAAGGTGGATAACGATCATACTCTATTTTATAGAACTGAAAAACGAAATGCAGAAAATGACTTGCCCAAACTCATGGTAAGTAAATGAAAGAGCTGAGAAAAAAATGCAAGCTTTTTGATGCCCTGTCCTTATCTCCATAACAAGCTTAGAGTTTATACATGCTGCTGTTCATCATAAAAACAACAAGCAGTTACGTGTTTGTGGAACAAGAGGGAAAGAATGGAGTGAGATTATCTTGTGAAGCACGGAACCAGAGTCAAAACTTCAAGATCCACAACTTGCTATTTACTTTATATCAAAGAGAGAACTATGGGCCCGTCTCCACAATGATGGTAGCAGGTCCTAGCACCGAGAGCCTCCAGCCTGCCCCATCCATCCATATCCATGACCTACTGCAAACCAGAAGTTTGCTGGTGAAGCCATTTCAGGCTTGTCCGCAGTAGCCACTCAAGAATGTCAAAAACTGAGGGCTTGAGTGTGTTTAGAGGCAAGAGACCAGAGCAGCTTTGCTAGTATACTTGTGGGTTTGGAGCACATGTGGATGAGGCAAAGGCAGGTGTCTCAGTGGTAGAATTTGCCACTGTCACAGTGTAGACGAGTACCCACAGAGAAGATACCTGCTACTAATTAATTATTTTAATCTAGCAAAAGGCATCACAAGAGCCAACACCTGGAAGTTCAAGGCAGAAAAATTCAAATAGGACATAAGGCTTCTTTTATGTTAAAATAATAATTGAACCAAGAGATATGGACAATTTTTCATAACCAGAAGACTTTAGATGAAGATTTGATGTCTTTCTAAAAACTAAGCTACAATTCAGTCATAAATGTCTGTGCTTGAGACTGATTTCACACAATAATTCATATGGTCTGGATTACACAGATCAGAGTAAATGATCAAACTAGTTTCTTGTGGTCTTAAAATCTGTGCATCTATGTCCATGTAGAAAAAAGATATAGGGAGTAGTCTTAATGGTGTTACTTAGCCCAGATCTTACAATTTGCAAGTGGGTTGGCTCACACAAGTCGAAGACAGACTTCAATGTGTTCCCCAAAATGTAATAGTGCTAGTATTTATTAATTCAGAGAAAAGATTACCACAGTGGCAATAGCTTGCAAAAAGAATTATGAATCAATTGTAATGCGCTTTCTACCTTATCACAGGGCTAAAGAGGGACTTATGCAGTGCAAAGGTCATTGGGTTTATGTAAAACCAAACTTTCAGCGCACACGCACACACTTAAACATCAAAGTCAATTACATGATCATGTAAATCACTAAATTACAGACAGCCTGCCCAAACCCAAGGCCTTACTGGTATAAATGTCACTCTCATTTCCCAAAACCAAGCTTTTCATGCACATAAAGCTAACAATAACATTTGGTATGTGAACGTAATGTATTTCCCTAAAGATTGCTTCAATACAATTTTAGCAAGACTCTAAGTTAGTAAAAGAGTAAGTACTCTTTGTTGTAATACCAGCATTGTTTCTCTCTAGTTAGCAATCAAACAATCCTGCAACAAAACGAAAAATAAGTACTGTTTCTGAACTATATGAAAATAATGTTCCTCTGGATATGACATTTCACTAGTACTGAATTAAATATAAGCTGTTAATGAATATAACATTGTTATGTTGTTTTAAAAGTAAACAAGAAGTTGCAGCATATGCAAAAAGAAGAGCTTCTTTCAATCCTGCACAGTGACAAATAGAAGACAGATGCTGACCAAACTTTTTCATCAAGTTTTCTGATACAAATACAAATTTATCACAGCATAATTTTTATGTTATTCCAAACTGAGCTGTAGAAGCAGTCATTGGCTGAACTGGTTTAATATAGAATAAATTAGGTCAGTGCTAGTGACACAAAACATTAAATTTTAGGAAGGAAGTTCCTATTCTGGTAATGTTAAAGATGGCAAGGAAGCCTTAGAATCCCAGGCACCTGACAGAATAAACCCCATAGTTTGAATGGAGTAAGTAATATTTTAATTACTGAAGTCAGATACTGGTCAAGTATTTAATCACTCTACCTATAAATTAAACACCATATATGTTAGGTCTGTCTTAAAGATGTTTTTCGGTAGTCACACTTAAAAAAATAAATAAAAATATGCAATACAAATAGAAAGAAAAATGCATATGCATAAAATGAGGCATTCGAAGAGGAAGCACTATTTTTCTCCCTGGGGGTAATCTTGGCAATCAACCTATGGCAAAATCTAACACTTGGCAACTAAATTGAAAAATCTATTTAGTTTACAACAGAAATCCTAACTTAACATAAACTAAAAATACAAACGAATATGGAATACCAAGATCCCGATTTTCTTGGTATCACTTGTGCTTTATTTGCAAGAAAAGTACTAATTCTAGGCCCAATGAGCTAACATGAACAAAGACAGTGTTCTGGTGACAAAAATGAAACTCATTTAGATTGGCACTGTACCATTTGAAGCTGCTGCTTCTTTTGCAATATAATATTCAGTTTTTCTTGCTGCTTAATGTAGGTTCTCATAACTTCCTCCATGATTCTTCCCTTGTCATCTTCACAACTGATGTCCTTGAGAGCTGGGGAGAAGGTTGGTGTGCTACTACCTATTTCAACATGGTTAGATGCAGCAGTTGCTTTGGATGAGACATATTCAGATTTTCCACTTCTTGCTGAATTATTTGACAGTGGTGGATCTTTGGGAGATAAAAAGATGACAAAATCATAATGGAAACTTGTTTATATAAATCCCAGACTGAATATAATTTCAAAACAAACTAGAAACCCAAGAATTTATAAAAAGAATATAGAAGCATGAAAGATCATTACAAAATTAGTTTGGCTCTGAACTTTTTCCCAACATTTTTATACAAAAAACAAAAGAACCCAAAAATAAATTTCAAATTTTCTACTCACCAAAATGTTTATGTTGTTCTGTGCTAGTTTTTAAGTCTATTTTTTCCTGCTCTTCAAGCGACAACTCTGGGTAGGAGGCACCTTTTTTGCGTTTACTACTACTGAGCTGTTTCTCTGACTGTCCAGGTAAGGATTTCATTACTTCTGAACTTCTGCCTGCTGTTTTTGTAGCTTCTTTGCACTGTGACGTAAGGGACACATTTGGTGCAACCACTTTATCACACATGTAAAGGTAGTAACTGAAAGAGTAGAATAGCAAATTAAAAAAAACCTTAAGATTTAACAAATATTGAACAACTCACGTAAATGTTGTTTAACCTGATCTCAAACATAAAATGTTTTCAAAGCTTAAGGAATTGTAAAGAGAAAATAAGTATTCCTTTTCTAAATTCTTTTCATACAGCTGAAGCTACAGTGATCCACTTCATACAAGTGATTATTTAATCTTGACTCCTCAGGCCAACTCTGTGGCAGAGCCCTAATTTTCCAGTCTGAATGCTTTAAAAAGTCATACAAATATTTTATGTATAAATAAATAAATAAATGATCTAAGGCAGGGGTGGGCAAAATGTGGCCTGGGAGCTGGATGCGGCCCACCAGGCCATTCTATCCAGCTCGCGTGGCCCCTAAAAAATTTTGAAAATTAATATTTATCTGCCCCTGGCTGCCTCGCTCATGGCCCTCAATGGCTTGGCAAAACTCAGTAAACAGCCCTCCACCCAAAATAATTGCTCACACCTGATATAAGGGTTTACATTAAATTTGACCACCTTGGTGAAGACTTCACTTTTGAATCTTTTTAACTGGGGATACAAATCTCTAGATTTTTAGGGGACATCCTAGAACTCTGACATTCCTTAAATTAGCAGCAAATCAGCAAGTAAGATCTTAGATAAAACAACTAACATAATGAACCAACTGAAAGGCCCAAAGTCTGTTAGTTAAAAGTATAATTATATAGAAATGATATTTAAGAGTCAGTACTGAATTCTATTATTACACTTCGTTCAGTACTAATACAAAAACATTTATTTCATTATCAATGCATCAGTCACACAGCATCTATATAACATTTCTCATCTTAAATGGCAACCAAAAGTTTTGAAGAATCCTAATGAATTGAACAGGTAACATTTTCAAAGACAAGCTTTTTATGCCAATCTTAACCACAAGGACAATGACGTGTGTCTAAAGTTATACTATAATATGAAGAGAAGACACCATAATCACGCTTGTACACTCAGAGTTCCAAGATTGAAACCAACCAATCCCTCCGTTTATATTTAGAACTGGATAGGACACAAAGGGTGCTCATGATTCTGCTGTACCACTGAAATGACAGATGACCAAATAGGTAGCTGCATGAAATCCACTGGTCTAAACTGATATACTGTGAAGAAGTATTAGAAATATCCTGGTGTGAATCTGCACTGAGCACCAATATCCTTTTGCTATAAAACACTGGGGGTTACCATGCTATTGGAGTTGTAGCCATTTGAAAGGACATGTGCTATACAGTACACCATTTCCATATTATATCCTGTACCATTTATTATATTAACATCTTTTTTATGTTAATAACAATCTTTATTTAAAAACTGCAATCAAGCTTGTATAGAAACACTGTAGTAATATTGTTTTTTTCTTACATAGAGGAAATGGGGAACAGAATGGATGGTTTATTTAAAAACAAACAAAACCTGTGCAAGATCACTAAGAAACTACCATTTCAATTAACCTGGTTTTTAAAGTCTGTACTCAGCACTGTTAATGTTGCCAAGTCTCATAATGCTATCCAAACTTTGTGTTTGTTTTAAGCCCCAGCTCCTAGAATCAAGTTTATACACGAACCTGTTGTCCCTTTAAATAAATGTGAACTCAGCATACCCCAAAGGCTCAGAAATCAAACAGCAAAAAAGAACTCTTAATTTTAAAAAAAGTGTTGACGTTTTTTAAGTAAATCTTCTGGGGCTTAACTTTGAACACTTGGGTTTGGTAATACTGCTGTCATGTGCATTAAAGTGAGAAGAGTTTCCTTAGGAGTTAGAGATGCAAATGCAGAGCTCTTGGCAAAAGATCTCAAAGAAATGAGATATGGCAGGCAAGAGTGAAATTACAGAAAGAGAATGGATGCTTACTCTATATTAAATGTGGCTCTTATAAAATGATACAGTCGGTGTAGATCCCACTGAAGGTGCACATGCAACTCATGCATACAAGACTGAATTTGCTTGACTGTCTGGAATTGCGTCTGAGCCTTAAGTCTTCATGTCCTTCTGTGTGAGGACAAAGATACTCCCTTCAGTACCTAAGAATTACATTCTTTAACCTGGAGTCAATCATAGCTCCAGGGAACTCTACAGTTTGCAATGGAATTAGAGAAGATTTTTTCATATTTAATTATCTCAACCAGCCAAACGCATAGAGCAAGTATTTTGTAGGACTGTTGTCCACTGTATCTGCCACAGCATGCCTCTGAGCAGCCACACTCACATAAGACATGAATTCTGTCTTGTCATGCATGCCACTGCCTTTGTTAAACATCTGTGCAGACTTTTGGTGTTGTGGAAAGTCTGAAAGACAGTACCTTGTACTGCTAATGCTTTGCCATCACTGTTAATCTCAAATATTTCATGTGAACCAGGTGGATCACTAAGAAGAACTAGTTATGCTGCACATTAAGACCCATGAATCAAACTTAAGACTGAAGGAGAAAAAAAAAAAGGAGGCAAGCATCATCATTAGAGGTCTATCCAACTCAGGGAGGCAGCCAGCTGATTTCACAGGCAGATGGCAAGGCCAGCTGCAAACATTTCAGGGCTTCTCATGGGCACCCCCCACTATGATTGGCCAAGGGGCTCTGCCCCCTGCTGCTGACTCAGGGAGAGGGTTGTCTGTCATATAGCCCTGCCCTTGCCATTAATTGGCTGAGAGGGCTGTTCATCATGTGGCCCCACCCCTTGCTGCTGACTGGCAGAGAGGAGCAGGGCTACCTGACAGGCAGCCCTCTCAGCCAATCAGCAGCAAGAGGAAGGGGCAACAGCCATCTTGCTTGCTCACTTGCCCCTGTGCCAGCATCTTCCTTCCACCCTTCCCCGGGGTGGGCCGTGTGGCCGGGAGGACTGCTGGCTCCTGCTACTTTATTTGTAGTAAGTTTTTGTTTTTCATTATTTGCCCCACCCTGGGTGGTTTTGCAGAAACTGCCCAATTTCATGATTTCCGTGAAATCCACACAATCACAATTTGGGTAGGTCCCTAATCACCATTCTGAATCTGAAATAGTGTATGTACTTGTTCAGTCTCCTCAGGTTCAGGGTAAGACCCCTCTTCTGGATAAGGCAATACTGGAAGCAGAAACTTCTTCATCTCCTCTGCAAGTCCAGCTCCTCTGTGATGTCTAGACATGGCAGCAAGGCTACTACAGGCTCTTGTGCAGACAGTCCTTATAAAAGGATGTGGGAAAAGAGTTAAGGAGTGGTGAGGATAGCCTTGGACATTGTCTAGTGCCTATTAGTTGCCTGTGACAGCAGTCAAGCCTAGTGAAATTGAGGTTCTCAAGGATGTAACAGATTCCACCGTGACTCCCAGTACAACTTTTAAAATCTTCTGCCTCCAAGAATTTAGCGAGTACTTGACTGAAGTGGCTGAAAAAGGGTGTCTTCTAGATATTCATCCTTGTCAAATGTCCCCAATTCAGATGTGGTTGATCAACGTGGTCATAGCACAGCTTTAAAAACATCTGCACTCTTTTGGATATCGTTCTATCTTGCAATACTTTTGACATGGCTGAGTCTTTCTCCCTCTTCCTGGTTTTCCTTACCTGACAGAACAAGTGCCAGAAGTTTGTCCAGTAACGTGTCCACAGAAAGAGCTTATTCTTTTACCTCGCATTTCAAGTAGCTATGTTTGTCCTATGTTCATCCAGCCGAACACCTCTTCATTTACAATTCTGGATATCCAGCTGATTTTCAACATTTTTCTTTGCCAACAAAATCCAAATAGCCTGATTTACCTTCCAGGTTTTGTTTATTTAGCAGGCAAAGATCAGCTTTTGTAACCATATAGGATGGGTCAACCATATTAAATATTTTAGTAAGGTGGACATTGAAATTTAATTTTCTACAACACAGAAGCATTTGGAAATTATAGAAAGAATTTTTGCAATAAGTACCCTTTTTATTTCAGATTATATCAGATAGAAGATATGATGAAAACTCCCTAAAGCACAAATCTCTTCATTTGTTGCACCTTGGCCCCTCAAGGTACAAGTATTGCCAAATCTTGTGCATTACTGAGTTTGCTTACTGCCAGTGTATTAGTTTCTTAGCATTTATCATTTTATAATTCTTACTGGTATTGTTCAAGACACTAAGAGCATATGCTGAACATGCTTTGAAATAAAGTTTTCTGGAGCTCCTGGGTCTGTTTTTTTCTACGTGCACTCAGGTTGTCAGCCCTAGGAGTAAGATTATATCTTCTGCAAATACAGGGGTGGGTATTCCTAGGGCTGTCTGTGGGAAGCTAGAGTTTAAATCTCTAATTACTTTAACACAACCCTAGAATATTTCAGGAAATGGCATTCTTTGTTATTTTATCACTTAGTCTCCATTTCAGTATACCAAAAAAGTCATAAGGCCTGCCTTATTGTGATAGCTACAACCACTAACATGGCACTTAACTTGAACTCATTTGTAGCCACCTCTAGTGGTGCTACAGTGACCTCCCATGATTACTTGTTCTTTCCTATTCTGATGTGAGATCCTAGACAGAAAGGGAGTGAACTCTTGCCAAAGTTATGAAGTTATATTTTTGCAAACAGCAGTTAATATTTCCACAACCCAAAGCTAAAGTAAGTTAGAAGAGCATGCTTTGTGCTTAAAGTAATCCAGGTTTTTTGGGCTCTCTATTTTGTGCATGCCCTTGTAGACTTGTGCTTCACCTGCACTACCAATACCACCAGGACCCTAGGTCTGGGTGATCATATAAATATACAAAGTGTTTCAGAGGCATCTGGTATCTCTTTTCCACTCGCTTAGATTTGACGTCAACACGCTTGCCAAAATCCTTTGGCCAGCTCAAGTATACCTTCATTGATAGGGAGGGCAATCCTGGTTTGAATTCCAGAGTATGTAAAAATGCTCGTGGGACTTTTTCCTTATAATTATGATGTTAATATCTTTGCCTCTATAATTAGAGACATATCCTTTCCAGGAAGTCTTGGAAACCTTAACTTTGAGTATGAGGGGTGGGGCTAGAGCCACAATTTGGCAACAAGGATAATTATTTAGATGGGGACTGAGAATGTTGCCTTTGCACAGGTGTCATCTACTCCCAGATGCAGCTATCTAGTGCTGGAGTGGGTGGTTTGACTAACAATTTTACTGAATGGCAGGAGAACCAACAGGGCCAGAGTAGAACTGCTGCAAGAATGTTGGCCAGGTTGAGGTCAAAATTGACCAGCCCAGTGATAGTTACATCTTTCTTAAGATACAGCCTGGAATCCTTCCTGGAATTGCTCTTTAGCTGTCTGAGAGAGGAATCTCCACTTAAACAATGACAAGAACAAGCCAATTTCCATTTCCTCAAACAGAAGACACTAATGTGGTGCAATTCTAGTGTGATGTTGGCTGATGCCAGTTGTTTCAAAGGCTTCAGAGTGGTCACTGTCTCAAGTTCTGCTGTTCAGCTATAGATCAAATACTTGATAAATTTGACTTCCAGTGCCTGGTCAGATAAGGCTGACATCACCTCTTCCTCCCCACAGAAATCTGACCAACTTCTGATGTGGAAACTATCAAGGGTTTGGAACACCAAGGTAGTCAGCATCAGAAGGGACTGATGCCTATGTTGTTGCTTCTTTTCCCTAGTTCTTGGAGAAGTTACAGTTTGTAAGAGAGAAGTGTGGTAGAAATGCAGCAGCTCCATCCTTTATGCCCTCACATGGGAGCAGAAGGAGATATAGAGCACATGCACAGTTCCAACAGAGGAAGCTATTCAAAACAATTTGATCTCATGTACCTGAGGTACCTAAAGAACAGGGGGGTTTACAATGACATATTCAAAGAAAAAATGCTGTTACTCTGGACAATAAAGGAATGAGGCTATACCACAGTGAAGAAATATGCTAGGTTCATTAAATCAGGAATCTGCTCAACTGACAATTCAACTGCAGTCGTAAGCACTTTGTAGACACGTCAGCAGAAGGGTTAGGCAGCATCACATTGCTCCCCCATGGAATAAAAATGGTGGTAAGTTTGTACTAGTCATAGTTAACTGAAACTTAATTTTCTTTCATGTTGTTAATAATGTGCATATAGAATGCCACACATGTGTCAAGTTACAAGATGCAGGTCAGTAAGAGGTTAGAATTTATCACCACCAACAAAGCCATTTCTACAGTGAAAGCAACTCTATGTAATTACACTTAACTTTTATTTCTAATTCACATATCTCTACTGAGATATTCTGAGGAACAAAAAGTTACTGAATTCAATTTTTCAACTCAGGACCACCCATTTATTCAAATAAAAGGAAGAACTTTATTACATAACTCTAAAAAAATCCAGGATTTAATTATTCTTGTGTAATATACTGGGATTTTCCCCTAAAATTCCAGCAAACATATAGAGTTATAATTATAATTTAAAAGATGATATTATCTTTGACTAATTAAAGACATTCTAGGTTACACATATAACTCTCACATTTCTGGCAACACAATTCAGTTACCTTGGATGGATGAATGAAGGTGACTGAGTAGCAGGGTCTGCTTCCTGCTTTATAACTGGATACCACTGCTGTAATTCTAGGCTTCCCTGGGGATCCGCCTAAGTTTAAAAAAAAAAAAAAGCCAATTTGGGAACTTCATTATTCATCATTCAAATTCTAAATCAACTCTGCTAAACAGTCGATAAAAATATGTTGCTCATTAGTAAAGGTATTTATACAATAACACACTGCATTCCAAGCTCAGCAGCAGCAGGGAAATAAGGGGAGCTAAGAGGTAGAAAGGGGGGCATGGTGAGGAATACAGAACAACAAAAAACAGCAGTGAGAGCAGGGAAAGCTGTGAGACCTCAAACTGGCCCCTTCCAATTATGGGCAAAGCAGCAGGCAATTTTCTTGAAAACTTCTGATATTCCCTTTCTTGCTTCTTTAGTAACTCCCAAGAAAACTGGTCACAAGAACTGTTCCCATTTGTAAACTTGGGAAGCATTCTACCAACCCAAGCTTCCCTTCTCTTCACATGGCATGCAACTGAAAATGCACATACAATAGTAAGAAAAGAGTCACCTATAAGATGTTCTCTCCCACTCCCCAACAGCATAAAGCTTTCTGATGTGTCAGATTTTGAAATGGGGAAAGACTAAAGAAATCAAACAACATGATTAAAAATATGAGGAAAAGAAACAGGTCAGGAAAGCACGGGGCAGAGAAAGAAAATGGGCCAAAACAAGAAGAGAGAAGGCAGCAACTCTTACTCTTATATGGCATATGGCACATTACATGAAGTAACTGTGAACAGCCATCTGTCAAACCAATGCAAATAAAAAAATTGGAGCCACTGTCATAAAAATCTTTGGATGTTTAACATGCAATAGATAACAGTTAGAGACATTTTGCCGTGCTATTTATTTCAGCAGAGATTTGTGTGCCGTATTACTCTTATAAGTCTATCATCAAAATGTATAGTACACAAAGCAAATCTGTAAAATACTAGTACATACTAGCCTGTATTTAAGGTATTTTCATGAGATGTATACTGTATTTCAATGCTAATCCTTCAATTCACACTGGATAAGTAGTTACTGACTCCTATATTTAAATTCAAGTAAGTTTGTTTTTCTTTGATATAGTAACTAACATTGAAAAAGTTTTAGGGACATCAGTACAAAATGGGGGGGGTGGGGAAGAAGTCTAGCAGGAGTTTACTGTCAACTAAAAGCATTGCAGGTAGAAGAGAAAAAAAAAAACATTTAAGCTACAATGCCCCAAATACTATGAGGTCCAAAACAAGGATGCTTTTTAAATAAGAAAATTACTAGCTTATTTTAACACAAAACTATATTTTCCATCTATTTCCACTTGAACAGCAATAAAAGCTGACCCCTACACATCAAGTTTCCTCTCAAAGAACACCACGCACAAATCACAGATACTTAAATGCAGCAAGGTCTGCAATGAGGCAAGAGAATTGGGGGGGGGGGAAGACCAACAGGTAGACCATAGTTATGGCAGCAGGGATTGAAACCCAGGACTCCACATTCTCCTAGCAGGGGCCCCACCACCAAAACACTACAGAGTAGGATCATAAGAAAGTAAGACTGGAAGGGACCTCACAAGGTCATGCAGTCATGCAATTCCTCCCCCCCCCACCAAACTCAAGGCAAAGTCACCTCTGACTAAACCATCCAAGCAAAAAGCTTGTCTAACCTGTTCCTGAAAACTTCCAAGGGTAGAGATTTCACAATTTCTCTAAGTAAGCCTGTTCCAATGCTTGACCACCCTCACAGTCCAAAACTTCCTCCTATCTCCAATGTAAATTCCCCCTAGTGAAGCTTGAGGTTATTGCTCCTAGTCCTGTCCCCCATGGTCACAAAGAAAAGCCCATATCCATCCTCTCTATAATTGCTCTCCAAGTATTAAGACTGTATCAAATACACACCTGAGTCTTCTCTTCAGACTCAATAATCCTAGTTCTTTCAGCCTTTTCTCCTAAGTCTCTCCTCTCAGCCCTTAATCATAATCATTTTTGTTGCTCTCCACTGGACTCTTTCCAATCTGCCCACATCTGTCTTGAAGTGTGGGGCCCAAAAACTGTACCAAATACTCCAGGTGAGGCCTTACCAGGGCCAAATGGAGCAAAAGAATCATTTCCCTTGATTTGCAAGTGGCACTCCTATTGATACAACCCAGCAAGCTCTTAGCCTTTTTCTTTTTTTTTGTTTTTGCAACAAGGGCACCCTGTTGGCTCATATTCAGCTTAAGGTGTACGGTAACCCCTAGGTCCTTCTCTGCAGGACCACAGCCTAGCCAGTCATTCCCGCATCAGTAGTTGTGCATGTAGTTCTCCTGTCCCAAGTGGAGGACTTCATGCTTGTCCTTGTTAAATCTCACATGACTGATTGCAGACCATTTCTCCAGTCAATTCAAATCGTTCTGGATGCTAGCTTTGCCCTTCAGAGTGCCTGCCACTCCACCCAACTTCATGTTATATGCCAATTTGCTAAGCATCAGTCCCACTATCCAAATCATTAAGATGCTGAACAACACTGGACCCAGGACAGACTCCTGGAGAACCCCACTCAATTCTTCCTCAAACTAGACAGAGTCACTGATGACTACTCTTCGAGTACATAACTGGTTGGATCACTGTACATACCAGTGGTAGACAACCAATTATTTGGGCTGGAGAACCACTTAAGGAATTTCGGTGAGCTGTTAAGGGCTGGGGGGCTGCTGACCAGACCTTAGTGCCCTAGCCATGGCTGTTTACACTGCCAGCACAACTGGGAGCAGGGGGAGAATGGAGTGGGAAGGGGCCAGGAAGATGCCAATTGGTCCCATGTGGCCTTGGGCCTGTCCATCCACACCCATCACCAGGGGCACTGACTGAAGCAAGTGGGCAGGGTCTACATGGAGACCAGCCCAGGACCCCTGTGGGCAGGGCACACTTGACTGAGCAGATGGGATGGGGCCATGGGCAGGCAGGGAGCCGTATCCAGGAGTGGGATAGGCAGGGCTGGCATCACAGGCTGGTGACAGTGCAGGGCAGGGGCCAGAGCCCTGGGAAGAGCTGCGATCTGCTGCCCACGTGTTCATGTGACGGGCACCGGTTCCACAGGTAGTGGTCACTGTCACCCAAGGTACCTTCCACCTTCACATTCTCAACCAATTCCTCCCTGCTTGTGAGCAGCAATTCAAGAAGAAATTTCCCCCAGCTCATGTGTGTATGTGCACATATATGTATAAAAAAAGTTATCCCAAACACACTCTGAGAGTTTATTGGACTTCCTGTGCACTGCTCTGTTTCCCTTTCAGCAGATATCCTGATAACAGAAGTGCCCCATGGGAACCAAATCCCGTGATTTGGAAGCTTCCATCAGTTGTTTAAAGAAAGTCTTGTCTACTTCCCCCACCTGGTCTGGTGGCCTGTAACAGACATCTGCCATGACATCCCTCCTGCTGCTCTCTCCTCTGACCTTCACCCAGAGGCTTTCAACAGGCCTACCTTCCATTTCATATTTCACATTGCCCTTTTTCCCCTGCTTATCCTTTCTGAACAAGCCATGCCCATCCATATACTCCAGTCATGTGAACTAGCCTACCATGTCTCCATAATCCCAACGACATCAGCATTCTATGCGTGTACTAGGACTTCCAGTCCTTCCTGTTTGTTACCCATACTTCTCAGGCTAGTAATATAAGCATTTCAAGTATCTGACTACCCTATCCTCTCCCTAAGAGCATTGTTAAGGCTGTTATTGCTTTCCCTTACTAAGCTTCTATCCAGGCCCCTCGGGGTCAGGAGGACTTAGAACCCAGCCAGGTATCCCACTTCCTTAGTAAGCACGGTTGTTGCTAGGCTATTGGGCAACAGAGGGCTGCCTCCTCTTCTTCCTGTTGGCTGTGTCCATGAATGAACACAAAGGTGCTGTGCTTAGTACTACAGTCAGTGCTGCTGTCAATAAAAGCGAGTATAAATCCAACTGAGAAAACATACAGGTAAAAAGAACTATGATGACCTGACTACAAATGCAGATATTTATTACCAGAGACATATCAAAATATTAGCTGTTTACAAAGAGATAAATAGCTTCTTGCTTCTAAAACAAGACATCAGAAGGTACCCAATTCACAGTAATTTAGTTTTGTTTGTTCTTAAAGTGTTAGAGGGCAACAAAACTCAAGGGAGGATGAGGACCAATGGACCATATCAATGGATATAAACTAATAGAAGGTAAATTCATATTGGATGCAAGGCAAAACTTCTTTTCTGTAACGGTCACCGGAATCTGGAACACACTCCCAGCAGAGGTGGTGCAGTTGCCCTCCTTGAAAGTGTTCAAGACAAGGCTGGACAGGCACCTTGCTGATTTCATGTAAGCACACAACATTCAGTAGTACTAGTTTAAAGTGTACACATGATACAAATTGATTATTTTGCATATAAAATATGTAATAAGTTAACTCACAAACTGTTAGAATTACATTGGTATACAAGACAAAACAGATATCTAGACTGCAATCATATACTGTAACAGCATGACATTACCTTCCAAATTAAAATGCAATTTGCTGTCTACTTACTTTGGAAATATATATATATATATATATATAGTATCCAATATTAACCTATATAACCTGTGATATTACTTAATTTTAGAAAGGAAAAGAAAAAAAATATTAAAAAGTAGTAATATGCTGCACTTGAGGGAAAACATCCTCAAAGTCCTTTAGTTGCTTTCCAAATCTCTGCCAGAAGCATACTACAAATAAATATGTAAAAATGGAAAATAGAGCCCATTACTCTCAGTTGAGTCCAGGACAAGTTCTGTGATGTGATAAACATTTCTCTCCCATTCTACATACTTTGTCACAGACTATTACAAAACAACATCCACAAATCCAGGAACTTCTGTAGGTGAAGGTTTGTTTGTAGAAGAGAGACTCATTGCAATTTGGCTAACAAATTGAACCAATACTCTGGTCCCTCCAAGTGATTTCCCTTTTTCTTATACAATGAGGACACCCCACAGGCTTTATTGCTCCTCAGTAAGGGAAGTAGCAAGAGGGAAGAAGAAGAGTACATACTGGAGCATTATAGAAGAAGTAAATACATTTGCTTGGGAATATAAGGGGACAGAATAGGTAGCCTTGCTATGGATCATATCTAATGCCTCTATCCTGTTTTCTTCATATCATAAGGATCATGAGAAATAAATGTTATGGCAACACAGTCTTCCATGGTATGCAAGCGGAAAGAAAAAAAAATTGTTGCAAGGCTCCCCATATAACGTCCGGTTTTTATCTCTGGCATATTTTAAGAGTGTTTCTATGGGGCAAAAAATGTTCTAAGCTTGTGAAAGTGTTCATAAAGTTATCTCATCTCCATTTGTTCCTTTGGTGCTTGGGGAAGAAAGAGCAGGTCTGAACAGGGAAGAGCCAAAATAAATGTAATACTTCCTCTAAAGCCCTCAACTATGAACACTCACCTTGGTTGCTGCTGCACCTAAGCCTCACTAGGAGCCAGTGCTCAGAGCTGTCAAATTTGTCACTGAGTGGGGGGAAGCAGCCCTGTGAGATTGCACAGGAAAAGTGACCTCCACTATGGTGGCTGCTACATACCTCACACTTAGACCAGTTTAAACATGGTTTAAACCTGAAATAGACAGACACACAAGCCCATTAAACTGGTTCAGTGCCTGGAATGGTACAAAGAGTACTTGATTTTCCAAGTACACTAAATTTGTTCACAGTGCACCAGCTCAGCGTTGTGTGTGGGCACCAAACATTTTGTGACACGAATCAGGCTGATCCTCCAGGCATCCCACACTACACACCCCCTGATACAACTGGCTGCTCTGGGCCAGCTGTAATTACAGAGCATCAGAGCAGAATCAATTAATTGAGTCTGATGGACCCTGGTAATTATCACACTCCAGCAGCCTCCAGTGTCTTGTGTGTCAGCATCCCTGCACTTCAAAATGGCAGCGGGGGCGCCTGAACTAAAGCTTGTTCAAGCTTTAGTTCAAGTGCCCCCACTACTATTTTGAAACACTGATACATGAGACACTGCAGCCCTTTAATTAGAGCACAGCCCCCCACCCCCACAGCATGTGTAAAAGTGCCCTTACTGTTCCAATATTTTTCCCCTTTTGTTGGTACTTGTTAGCCAATGAGCTCCCTTGGACAAGCAGTTCAATAAAAGCCATCTTTCTAAAAAGCCACTGTAGCCTCACTCCTGACTCAACTGCAGTCCCTCAACATACCCTACCCCAGGCCTCTGGGGACCCAAATGTGGACTGTATCCCCCGCTGCCTACCCCAAGTCAGGCAAGCCCAGTACAGATGTCAGTCAATTCCAGGCTACTGAAGTCGACTGATCTCATGTTTAGGAGCAAAGGGACAGCAGAAAAGGTAAAATGTCCCCAAGTCAATGGTTACCCACTCCCTGAAGCCTCCAAAGCATGGCTGCAAACACTCCTCCCCACTTAATGCAATAGCTGTATGCAAAAGTGAACAGGAAAATTCTTCCAAACAACAAAAAGAACCCCAAGAGAAATGGAAACATTCCAAAAAGTCAAAGTTTAAGCTCTTCTCAGAAAAATTATTAATAATCTACAAACACAACTACCACAGCAATGCCTCAAATCAGTAACACATTAGTTACCCTCTGTTTTCCAAATCCTTCCTCATAACCTTTTTCAAGCATTTCTCATTCTTCTTCTATAAACAGTTAACATTTGTCTTATATTTATTTGTCTTATTTAGATTATGATATCACTGTAGTAGAACTAACTTCATGCTTGTGAAATACTGTGTAGACTTACAGTATTACTGAAATAGGCAGTCTCTCTCATTGGTGTCAAGGTGCATTGCATAGTAATATGAGATAGTGCATTGGTGCTGGTGAGAGGCCAAAGGCTGCTTTTAGAATGTGGTAATATATTTTTTTTATGTTAAACATGTAATGTATAAGATATTACTTGAATTGCTTTTAAGGCCTATCACCTTAAAAATCATGACATGCTACTGGGTGCTTAGCAAGGTAACTGGCTGTATACCATGTGTACATATACGCACAGGAATTTAAGTCCGTGTCTGTCAGTTTAAGCTAGCACTTGATTTTTCAGGCAGCTTCCTGCTTATTGCAACATGCTTGGTATAAAACAATCACACAATGTGTAGGTCAAACAGGAGGACAGACTGTCCATGAAACCTCTACATTTTCCAGATATTGCCAGTTTAAAAAAAGCAAAAGAAACAGAATGAAATGCAAAAACCTAGAACTCTTGGTTCAGAAATGATACCTTTTATTATCCTAGTTGGTCTAATAAAAGGTATCATTTCTGAACCAGGAGTTCTAAAGCTTTTGCATTTCTTTTAGTCTCAGACCAACATGACTATCAAAAACATCCAATGAAACAGAACTACGTTCTGAAAGTTTTTGACCAGTTTATGACAAAAGCTCCAATTAGAAAAGAATTCTTAATACTAAGCCTTTTATATTGAAATTGTTGAGACTGTATTATGTATGCTGCAGATCATTCACACACCTAGCTTATACTTGATCTGACTCTGGCTCGTATTTAGGAAGATGAACAGCATGCTTCAAAAGTATTCATCTGTTAACAGCGAGTAATCCAAAAGTTTTATAAGATTAAACTGGACTTACTTTGGACTGAGTTCTTTTCTGATTTTTCACGCTAAATTTCTCCTTCATTTCCTCCAAGAGATGCTTCAGCTCCCTCTCTTCTGATGTTCCTAAATATTTTTGGTTAATGTGAAGATAGTAATGCCATTTGGCTGATTCAAAACCCCAGTGGCAGGTCCTTTTATCCGGAGATCTATGTGAATGCATCACAAACGTCTGTGGAGAAAACATTCCATAACACTCCAAACACTGGATACAGGCAGCATCTGGCTGAAGATAGAACTGAGGTGCAAACAAACCCTGGCACTTGCCCAAGCATTCATGCTCTACTTCAAAGGCACTGCCAGTTTCTTTAAGTTGAGCCAACGTGTTTTTAGCAGGATGCAGACTGCCATTTTGAGGAAAAGTGCGAGGACGTAGTAAAGCATTGCATAATCTTTGAGCATCAGTCAGCGTGATCAACCCGCAGGATGGGGCATTAAATGGAAGGATCCCCAATACCTTTAGGATATGAAGCTGATCAGAAGTGCATCTTGAACAGTATATGTACAATTCATCACAAACTGCATTAATTTGTTGGAGGGAAAAGTCTCGGAGCACAGAATTCAAGACTTGAGGTAGGCAGAGTCTCTTTTCTCCGCCAACTTTAAAACAGGAAATAGATTCCCCCTCCAGCGTAGTCTGAGTGAGCTCCGTGGAACTATCTGAAGGGACGAGCAAGGGGCCAGGAAGTATCTGCGGCGATGCAAGAGGCAAGAAGACGGTGGGAGACATGCTTTCCTCAGAATAGCGAGCGGAAAAAGCGGCTGGTCCACCCAGCGAACTCTGGCTACTTAAGTGGAACTGTGCCAAGGTGTGTTTCAAACCAGGATTTAAACTCAGGCGCTCAGATACAGCAGCGCTGTCTGACTTGACATTTTCTCTATCCACCTCCATGGGAGTTTCATCATATTCATCCAAGTTTTCCTTCTTGATGGTGGGCATCTTACTCACCCCAGCTGGGAACTCAGTATTTCCATGCATTTCTGTCATTGCTTTCTTTACCGGAGGGCCCCCATCCTCCCGCATCCTATTCGCTTTCTGGTCGGAGCCAGGGCGCAGGGGGAAGTTTGCCTGCGGGCCTTCCATCGCCGACTGCCACGCGTTTACAGAAGGAAACCGTGAGGGCGCATCTCTCTAGCTTCTCTGTCAAACAAATGTCAGTTGTGGCTTATCTGAATTCCCTCAGACACTCAATCAATGCTACGCCAGGCCAGGCCAGGCCAGGACAGCGCTATGCCGGGGCCTCCGGAAGGGCAGCCGAGTGGGAAGGGACGGTGTTACAAAGCCCCGCTGGGCTCTTAGGCGGTGCAGACAGCAGGGCACGTTTCCTGCCAGTAGACCGCTGCCTTCTCCATCAG